GCTTATTAAAGAAAAAAATTAGCAGTTTTTTCCCCCTATACATTTTATTTAAGTATAGCAAGAAGGAATTGATTGTATAATGAGAGAGAAAAGTATTCTTCAAAGGTACATAGTTGAAATATTAATAAATTAAGAGATGAAGCAGAAAGCAGTGGGAATATTGATTTGTTTATTGAAACACATAAACTTTAAAAAAAAAAAAAATGTTTAAGAGAAGAAAGTTGATGTAATTTAGCTAAAACATCTGGAAAATTTTCAAACTGAAAAGATGCATAAACATTTTATTGTTTGTTGTTGCTACAAAATGTAAATGTTTTGTAGCTTTTAAATGTATAATTAAACTAATATAATTTTAGAACCAGTATCATAAATTATAACTGCTCTAAAATGTTCTTAGTACTTTTTAGAAATAAAGAAGAAATTTTAATTGTAATTTTGTAAATATATTATGACTAAGGGTATGTAACTGTGTAATTTAATTATTTATAACTAACTGCTCACCCTTAGAAGTTACCTCTACATGTTAAGGGGACTTATCACCTTAACATATAATATTATGTGGGTATGCCACTTGATATAAAATTTGCATAGACCTCTGTACTGAGTGAGTATGTGATGAATGAGGCATAAAAGAAAGAATGAATATAAAGCAGTAGTAAAATTTAAATTAAAAGCCACTAATCTTCTTTAAAATTATTATAAGTGTAAAATATAAATGTTTCAAGACATTTTATAATTTAATGCTAATTCCTTGAAAAAATTTATGAAGTTATATTCTTGAATTTGTTTAATGATTAAGTTAAATATTAGATTATGTGTAATAATAATGCATCCTATTTAGCAGAGTTATTTTCTTACAAATTACAAAAGTGAAGTTTCACGTGTAGATAATTGCTTTAGTTTATTCATTTCCTATTTTCTTGATTGGTTCTTAATTTTTTTCATTGATGGCCCTTAAAACTACATATTTTCCAAATGCAGAAATGTATACAAACCCTGATAAATGAGAAAATTGTGTAATCGATATTTTAATTTTGAAGATATTTAGTACGTAGAGTTTTCTACTGTTGTACACAGCTTTGCCATTGCTTGACATAACTTTATCATCCTACTTATTAAAATATTATTTAATAAGTAGGATTTTCAGATCAAATTTTTCATTTTTACTTCCTTGTATGAAGTAAAAAGGAAGTATTGTAATCGCGAAAAGTTTCAGGCAGCATATTTCAATGAAAATATCCATTTTGACCGCAATCAAATGCAATTTAACGATGTTTTTGCATGATATCTGTCCGTAAGGACAGAATAAAAGACTCGTTTCCTCCAAAAAAATTATAAAACTGCTTTAAAATCAATTCTGAAGAGAATTTTTCGTGGCGTCTGTACGAACATATGTACGTGCGTACGTATCTCGCATAACTCAAAACGAGTAGCCTCAGAACGTTGAAATTTTGTATATAGGACTGCTATAGCTGTGCACCTCGTATTTTGGTTGCAATCGGCCGCACAAACTTATATAAATATATTTATATATATATCCACTCTGTTGCCCGGCTCAGTGATTTCAGTTTCTTTACTCTTATATGTTTGTAAATTGTACATTTTTTGCTTTAAAAATGATTGAATTATGTTTTTTTAATCTTCTGGTTAAGGTTTTTATGCCTTTAGTAAATCTGTATGCAATATTTTCAGAATTATCAACAATTTTAAAGCTGACTAGAAGAGAAACATGCTAATGTGACAATCAAAATCGTAAAAACAACCTTGTATTTAGCGTAGGTATAATGAAACACTCAATCGATCGTCGTGCTTCCATTTTATCCTTCTGTTAGCTATAAAATTGCACGGATTCTCTAGAAATTCAATTTTCAAGTCGGTTTCTCCCCTATTAATAAAATTCACCCTTCTATTCTAAAAGATTGCGTTTCTGTCTTGAATTCTTGGGGAATTTATAGTATATCGTGTCAGTATGGTTTAAGATATATTGGCCAAACAAAAAGAGCGTTGAAGTTTCGTATCAAGGAACATGAATCTTATGTCAGAAAAGGCGAAATTAACAAGTATTCAATAGTGTATCATAGTTGGACATTTAACCATAATTTTGACTTTGGGTCTGTAAAAATTATCCAAAAAGCTTCTTCCATAGGTGAATTGGATTTTCTTGAGGCTTTTCACATTCACAAAGATTTAGCAGGTTTAGTTAATGATTTGAAGTCCAATCCAGTCCTTCGTAATGCCTTTAAAATTCTACTATCTTAATTCAGTTATTGTTGCCGATACATGGCGTTACCTCCTCACGTTTGGTACTACCAGAGGGTATCAGATTTTGAGCGTGAAGGTGCATTTGCCCCTCGCTCCCTATTTTAACTTTGCTAATTTTTCTTGTCTTTTATGCTTGATCAGATAGCCTGGGTCAGTAAATGTAGGCAGCCAGTGCAACTCTGATTAAAAATCCAGTTATAACCACGTGCAGTGCTGATAAGGACCATGTGTTTCTGAGACTCCTCCTTTATTTTCTTCTTTCTAGGTATTTCTTTCTTTTCTGAGGAGGGACCTTTAGCTGCCCTCGAAATCGATTGAGTGTTTCATTATACCTACGCTAAATACAAGGTTGTTTTTACGATTTTGAATTTTAAATTTGTTTAAGTGCCGCTAAGCCTAATATTTTTTTTTTTTTATGGCTGCCGTTGCTTGTTTACATTTGAAACAGCAGACTAGTGGATTTGTTGCCAATCTAGAGAAACTTAGCTTAGCAACAACAAAGATAACGCCTTCATTTATTATTGCCAATTAAATCATGCTTAATCCTTTCTGGAATTTTATCGAGGACCCGCGAAGTGACAACTGAATTAATTGAATGAGAAATACTCAATCGTCTGTGAAAAACTGTTTCATTTTTGTTTTGTTTGCTTAATTTCTTTTATACATCATTCTAGCTTTATTATAGTATTTGAATAGAACATGTGGCAACGATTAGATAATTCTTTAAATGATATAAATTTTGTGCATTCTGAGCGTGAACTTGTCTGATTGGATTGTCTTGCTCCTTTTGGTACTTCTCTTCTTTCCCTTTTCTCCGTTTTCTCATCTGAGATTTTCTTCACGTCCGGATTTCTTTATGTCAAGTGCCCTTGGGCTGTATTCTGAAACCGGCAAAATTGCTCTTCGCAGTAGCTCGGTCAATTATAAAGTCGTATAATATGAACGAAATATAATACTGTTAAGTGAATCTAGCGCCAGAGTGTCGCTATGGTCAACAAATATTAGAGGGAATTTTAAACAATGCATTTATTCTATTGTGGTTTATGCGCTGTCGGCAAAGTAGATTTAATTCAATCCAATAAGTTTAAACGAAATGCAAGAAAAAATGCGTATAATTTAATATTTTGTACAAGGAAGTCATGAGGTGTACACATCAGATTTTTTTTAAATCTTGAGAAAGAATAAAATAACATTTTTTTTTTTTTTTTTTTCCGTAATGTCAGGCTATTTGCCTTGAAATTTTCTTAATTCCTTAATGCCTCAATGCAGTGAATTCCTTGTGGCATTCTGCAGATATATCTGCATTCATGTTTGCTTTTGTATTTGTTATCTGTCATAAACATTTCCAATGTGTTCCAAAAGTGATTTTTGTGACAATCTTTATTCTCCTTCTGTTTCATTAAACTTTAGAGTAAAATAGTGTAATGATTTTGATCATGATACTACATGTCTTTAGAAGCTAGGCATTTTAATGACACAAGATGAAAAATAAAGACTGGTTTCATTAACACTGAAAATGTTCTTTAGCTGATATTCATATACCTCTTTGAATAAATTCCTGAATCTTCAAATTCGGCTGAAATATCTTTGGATTGTCTACTTATGATATGGTATGACATTCTGTGACATAATTTAAATTTATGCAGCTGTTCAGTTGAAAAACAGTCACCCTTCATAACCAATAATGTTATTTATTTTTTATATCTTTTCCTTTAGCATAGGCCAGTTTGTTGGAGTATCTGATGCATGGCACTGAGTGAAAAACTTTAGCAAATATGGATTGAATGTCTACATATTTTGCCTTTATATGTAACTGCTTTGAAACGGATTTTCTGAAAACTGTTATTTAACATTTTTAGACTTTATTAAGGAAAGAGGCTTGCAACAATAAATTTATTGAATTAATTAACTTTGAGTTGTGTAAATTTCAATCCCCTATCCCGTAGTGATTCTTATTTTTTTTTTTTTTCTTTTTTGCTTATTAAATTTTGTTTGATCATTGATTTGCTTAATTTTTCTTATTAAAATTGAATTATTATTCTACTGTAGATATAAAACAGTTTATGAAGATTTAAGCAATGTTTAATGAATATATGGTGCATTTAATTTTATCCATGTAATAGTATTTACACTGCTAAAAAAAGGGGTGGAACAGTTCGATATCTCCTGTTCTACTGGGGTGATTAACGAAATTCAAATTCCATTTTCCATGTCTCAAAAGTGCAACTTCGGATATGTATCATATATATGTATATAGCATTGTTCTAATATAGGTATTCTGACACAGACTTTTTCTGAAATGACATGCCAATTTTTTTTTCCATATTTCGATTCTAACTAACAAGAAATTTCATGCAGAAAAAAACAAGCATGTATGTGGTGTTTATTTGGTTTTTTGCAGCTGATGGATATTACTAAGCAAAATCCCTTACATAAAAAGCCTATAAATTCCCATATATTCAAACACATGTGAGGCACATGCAGTGTGGGTTGGTTGTTGTCAGATGTGTGCTTGGAAAAACAACAAAAAATGGTAATTATACTGCATATTAAAACTGAGAGTGTGGATTAGAGAGATTACTTAGAATTCTTGTAAAAAATAAGTTTTGAAATAAGTAACTGAGCTAATTTCTTTAATAAAAGGTTTTTGTGGATAAAAAAATTGAATGTCCAAAAATAAATGGGAGCCTCTGAATTTGTGATTTTTGCCTAATTTTATACTTATTATTAATTCATAGGTGATTTGAATGTGACATCAGATGTGGCTAACATCTCATCAAGTACAATGTCTGCTGTTCTAAGCAATACGACTGAAGATGACATTGTGCGAGATAATTCCACATATAACGAAACTGATATCGATGTCCCTCCTACATTTCTTCAAACAACAGGAGCACAAGTGATATCTGGAGTATTTGTTTGGTTTGCATTATTCTTGACATGTCATCAGGTATTGTGCTTTAATTTGTTATTTATTTATGTAGTTTTAAGTTATGTCAGTAAAAAGAGGTATATTGTATTCATACATGACTTATTTATTATTTTGATATCTTCAATACAGATTTATCAGCATTTACGTTATTATACAAGCCCATCTGAGCAGCGATGGATTGTAAGAATATTATTCATCGTACCTATCTATGCTTTTGATTCATGGTTAAGTCTGATGTTTTTCCGTGATAACTATTATATATATTTTGACAGCATCCGTGATTGGTATGAAGGTAAATGTTTTATTATGTTTTATTTTTAACCATTTCAATTAGTTTAATACTATTAAATCATTTTTAAGCTTTTTATATTTTTATACTGTATTCCTTTTTGAAAAATATTTGTTAAAATTATAAAAGTATATTTACAATTTATTTCTTCTAGTTGAGTTTTTGATTTGTATGTATTTTGTGTTTTTAAAATTTTAGTTCTAGAAAAACTGTATTTTGAAGGAATTGAAATAAGCAAGTCTTCTTCAAAGTGCAAAATAATTCGAAAGAAAGACTGGTAATGGGAAGGCATATTTTTTTACTAATAAAAGTCTGAGGTTTAATTATGTCTACTTTTGACATTCAAGTGGATATTCAATAATAAAATATTTTTATGTTGTGATGTTGCTAATCAAAGTTAAAATTTTTCCCTTTTTGGATTCTTTTCTTAGGTTTTGCCCATAGGCAATGGACCTACTTTGCTTATTAGCTAGTTTCCTTTGACTGGATTTATTTTACCAGTAAAGAGGTCTTCTGGAACATATTTATCATCTCTAAAAATCATGTTCAATGAATGCAGGTTATATTTACTTCACGTTATAATGAAATTAGACCACAAAATACCGCCACTCTTTCTTGGTTCTATGTATAAGCCTTGATGAGATGTCTCCTGTGTTTTGAATTACAAACTCATTAAATTTGCTTATGAAGCATGGATTTATCTTACTTGTATCAGCTGTAATTGTATATGGTTTTCTTAATATTTCACAAAGCATTCCTTTTTTGCTCCATGATCAGTCATTATGTGCCATTTCTTTACTTTCATTATCTTTTCACTATCATTGTTCCTTGTATGTTTGTTTATGTACTGGCACAACCACCTCAAAACAGTTTAGCAATTTTTATAGGGAAAAAGGAAGAATGATGATTTATAATTACAAAAAAATTACATACATATATTTTACATTTTAATTATTTATCTTGAAAATCAATCAATAAGCTAACTTAGAAGTAGTTTCTTGTTTATCTGTTTATGGTGTTTGGTGGAAATTTCATGGTAATCCCTTTAAGAACAGATTCAAAGGAGTTGCCTGCTACACCAATCTTGTGGTAAAATACTGTTTCTGCAGGAATATAGTGTTTTACCGCAACTGTCTCAGTTTCTTCTTAGTGCAGGTAATTTTTAAAATCACATATTTTAAAATTGTGTTTAGGAGATAAAATATTATGATTTGTATTTAAAAACCTTTTAATATGAAGTTTACAAAAAAGAATGTTTATGAAAATGGCAGTGTTGCTTGTTAAAGTTGAATAACTGTTAATTAAACTGTTTGTCAATTTGGTGCATTCTAAAAATTTGGCAATTTCTGCTAATTGCACTTACATTTTAAATACCTCTCTCTTAGTCAGCTCATCGCCATCTTTCTTGTTCCCTTCCTATGAAACAAATATCCAATTTCTTTCTCTAGCTGTGCATATGATCACTTTCTGTTCTTCCTGCTATTGTCTTCATTGACCAGAGTCTCACCACATTCTATGACACCTTTTGCTTATTGGTCATTTTTCTTTCCCACATCAAAGCGAGCAGAAAAGAGGTGGGACCTCTGGCAACCATAAGATTTAACCAAATATGGCAAGGTTTCATGAGCCTCATACGTTTGAAATTACATAGTTTCCATATTTTTTATTCACCAGAACAGCATGAAATGCAGTGAGAGTGTTAGTTCTTAAACGTGACCCTGTCTTTGTTTGGAACTAGTGGTAAAATAAAAGATATTATTCAAAAATAGCTATGTGTGTTTGGTTGTTTGTCTAAGAAATTTTCTGATCTAAAAGAGATGATTGTTAAGATACTTTTTTGAAATAGGCATCACGTTTTCAGCAACTTCAGCTATCTGAAATTTAAATTTACTATTTAAATATTGTACATATTTATAAAACTGGTCAAATGTTATTATTTGTCCATGCTCATTTATAATATTTTAAAATTATAATAAATATAAAAATTTGATTTTAAATTTCCAAAAAAATAGCTGACCTTTTATTATTGTTTGTCTTGCTTCGGTATATTGAGTTTGGGTATGTAATATGATAGATATATACTTAGATAATGTGCATTTGTATTGTTATATATTAATTCAGATGATGGAGATGGATGCTTGCAGTCAGGAGAATGTCTTTTATTTCTAAATAAAGCAATGTTTTTTCATCGACAAATAATTTGAATGAAAATGCTGATAAATTAGATAAATAATAAGAGTGCTGTTCTTGAAAAATGGGTATCTTTTATCTATACCTTAAGATCAAGAGAGAAGAGAAACTCACAAAAATTAAACATAAAATTAGGCAAAACTGCAGCATTCTGTTTCACATATATTTTAATTAAGATTATTGATTTTGAGGGCAACAGGTGTAGGTCTCTGAAATATAGTATTTAAAGACAGCACAAAGTGTCAGCAATCTGACAGTAGCAAAGCAAGAGAGGGAATGCAAAATACCTAAGAGAAAAGCTCAATTTAAAATGACTAGGTTTTTTTTTTTTTTTTTTTTTTTTTTTTTTTTTTTTTTAAGTCTGTTAGTTGTAAGATTTGATTTAAAAATTTAAAATTATTTTTGGCATAAGTGTTATGTAAGTGCACCATCATTAGGATTTGTACAAATCATATGACATGAATTTTGAAATGGCACAGTTTAGAACAATTTATTGCAAGCTCTGACTATATTTTAGGCAGAAAGGGAAAATGACCAAATTAAAAGAAAAGTTAAGGATTATTGTAAATTAAAGTTAAAATTTTGATTTATATATTTCTTATTTTGCATGTATATTATTCAGGTGCACTTTTGTGTTCATTGATTAAAACAAAATATTTCGTTAATAAATTCACCAATCACACCAGAGTTTCAAAAACTATGTAACTGCTTGCAAGCAATATAACATGGAATTCTTTTAGCTATATCAATGTGAGAAAAAACTGATATAATCATTTTTGCAGGTGGATATGGTAGTTTACATATGTGTGAGTGATAAAATCAGTGCAAAAATTGGAAACAGATTTTAAAATAGCATTATTAATTGATCTACTTTATAATATTTTTCAAAATCAGCAAGATATTTTATGTATTGTATTATATGCTTTCATTGAATATCTGTATTATTGAATAATTATATGCTTTCATTGAATAATTATATGCTTTAATATTAAATTTTGCTATAATTATATGCTTGAATAATTATATGCTTTCATTGAATATTGTTTCATGTTTATCTGTCAGCACTATCCTTATCTTCAGGGCAGATGTTTTTTCTTTACACTCTGAGAATCTATAAATTAATTCATAGCATTCTTTTATTTTATTTGATATCAGTTTTTTTTTTCAAATTTCATGAAAAATGCATATTGAATTGCCATATATAATATTCGTGTTAATTGATGAGAGAATAATGTTTATTACTTGCATATGTTAACATCATCTTGTATACATCTACTCCCTACAGTGTAATAAAGTGCATTTTCAGTCTGTAAAAGTAGATAAACTTCACTTAATCATATTTATTAGTTTTTAGAAGTTTTAAAAAAACTTTTTCCTGGGGCTGGGCGACAATTTTTTATCATAATACAGTCAAAAGTCGTTAATCCAGACACCCATAATCCGGAATGATCTATAATCTGGATTTCAAAGCTACAAACTTTCTGCGCATGCGTCAATACAACATAATGCATTCACGCATGCGCGTAATACTTTTATGTATGCGCGTAATACTTTTACGCATGCGCAAAATACGTTTACACATGCGCGTTTAATGTATAACGGACGGTATAAGCTAAGCTAAAAATTATTATTTTTTGCAGACTATTAGAGCATTTTATAAAAGTAAGCTTGAACTTTCCATTATGTCAAATAGAATTTCTGATGCTGGAGCTGCCAAAGGATCTACAAAGCGAAAGTATGTTTCGATGTCCATCAAACAAAAAGTGGAATTGCTGCAAAAAATGGATAAAGGCATATCCTTTCTTTCTCTAACCATTCCGAAATCTGTTTATCAATTTCACGTTGCTCTAGGGGGGATGTCGCAGCACACAATGAACTGGAAGTTTATCTGTCAGCACTATCCTTATCTTCAGGGCAGATGTTTTTATTATATTCAGCTTATAATTCCTTACTAAATGTAGTATTTCATCTCGATGTTTTCCGTCTTTGATATGATTTAAATCAAATTCCTTGTCATTATAAATATCACGAGTACACATCAAATAGTTTTCTGGTTGCAATTTTCTAATTTCGATTATGTGTAATGTATGCTTTACGCATGCGCGCGTTGAAAGAAATGTTTAATAAAGTAAACAAATAAATATTAAGCTTTTTTTTTTTTTTTTTTTTTTTTTTTTTTTGTAAATTTTGATACCCTTTAGATCATAATTGCTCTTTATTTCATAAATTACGGTTTCATATTTTTAATTTTATAATTTCTGCATGCCATCTTACCAGATTTAAACTGATGATCTATAATCCAGAAAAATCGATAATCCGGAATCGCTGAAGTCCCGATGAGTCCGGATTAAAGACTTTTGACTGTATTTATTTTCATAAACAATTGTTAAAAAAAAAAAAAAAGAAAGAAAGAAGAAAAAAGAAAAATGTGTGAACAGTTTCATACTGACTTTTTCTTTTTTGGTTTAGCTTTTGTGATTTACAATTTCTTGAGCTTATGCTATGAATACCTAGGAGGAGAAGGTAATATTATGTCAGAAATACGAGGAAAACCTATAAGGTAATTTTTCAAGTTTTGTTTTCCTGAATTATTTTAGTTACCCCTGTTTTTATTGCTTAAAAAATATGAAATTAAAAAACTGCTGTGAAACTAATGGTACTTGCGTGTTATCACAGCCACCTTAGTAGAAGTCGCTAACTTTCCAGAATGTGCCAAATTCTGGCAGCCATTTTTCAGACAACTTTGCTAATAATAATCCTACAGTCAATCAGTGCTGCCGTTTTTGCATGTGTTCTTTTTGTTGTATTACAATGGCTTTTATGAACCAATTGTGATATTTTATGTCTTAATTTTAAAATAAGCATTTGTGGAGTTTGCGAGTGATGGAAGAAAGTGGTAAAATTGCATTAGGAACACAGAATTTTGATGCAAAATTTCTGAATGGAATAAATAACAAGGTGATGCATTTGGTAGTTAGCCGGTGCTATGGAGGTTTGAGTGATGTCAAGTTTCTGCAATTCTCTGAGTTTTTTTTAAGTGAAAACAGATTGCTATGTACTCGAGGAGAAGAATAGCTAAAATAAAAAAAAAAGAAAGAGAGAGAAAGATTTGGAGGTAAATGTAAGTGTTTTGTATATTTAATACATCCATAATCCTTATTTAAAAGGTAAAATTTTTATTTTAAATTGCTTAAGTTTGTCGACTTTTCATATGTTGATAATGTTTGCCAACTACAGTAATTATTGAGACCTCAGGAATCTTTTTAAAAAAATGTCGTGAAAAAAACCTACTTTGACCCGATAGTAACTTTTACTTTTTCAGCTGTAAAAAGTTGCCGAATTGCACCGAGGTGGTTGTGTTAATACTTAAGTACCAAATTAATTTGTCAACTCTGTTAGAAATTGTCACCTCTATTAGCAAAACAAAATATTGTTAAAATGTGTTCGTGTTCTGTTTTTTTTTTTTTTTTTTTTTTTTTTTTATGAAATCTAGAATATTTTCCTAAATATGTAATTAAAAAATTATTTATAGCTTTGCTTTTTATTTAGGGCAAGTTGGTGGTATGGTACTTGTTGTTTAGGAGGAAAAACTTATACCATAGGATTTTTGCGTTTCTGTAAGCAGGTATGTAGAAATTGATTATTTTTCATCGGTGTTTATATTTAAATGAAAATTTCTTTGTGATTTTAGACATTTTAATTGATATTTCAGGCTACCCTTCAATTCTGTGCTGTGAAACCTTTGATGTCAGTTATTATTCTTATTTTGCAACCACTTGGAAAGTATTCAGATGGTGATTGGAGGTAAAAATATTACATAGTTTTAATTAAGAAATCAGTCCTCAATTTTTTAAGCAAAATTAATTTTTTGAAAACATTTTAAATGCAAATTTGTAAATTGAAAATGCTATTAGTTTATCAAAAATATGTTCCTATCAAAAAAAAAAATATTGTGTTTCCTAAATTGTATAACCTTCATACTAAACTATGCAAGTAAATGTCACATAGTTTGTTTAAGATGTGCTGTATGCTATATTAAAAAAGTGTAAGTTTCAGGATTCTTAAAGCAATTCAATTGCATTTTAATAAAATACTGAAAAAGAGCTTATTTTGAAAGTGCCATTGCTTTACATAATTTTAATTCCTAAATTAAGGTTGGGAAATGAGATTTCTTTAAAATTTTTGGTAAGATACATACTTTGATAATTATGTGCAGTAAGTTTATATTTTAAGGAAAACTTCATTGTATTAGCAAGTATCAAATTAGAGATATTAACCCTTTTGTATGTGCAATTGTAGTTGTAGTCTGACATAATTATGTAGTATAATCTTTGATGTTCTTATTTATTAAGTTTATTAAAACACATATGAGGCAGAAAAAAAAAAAAAAAAAAAAAAGCTGCTGGAAAAGTAAAGCAGAAAATATTAGCGAGCTATTTTCTTTGCATTATGTACTGTTTAATATAGCTCTGTATTTAAGTTATTATCTTAACAAATGTACAGCACAAAAATGTGAAAATGAAATTAAAAGATGAATTATCCATATTCAAAGTGATAATTTATAGTTAAATATGTATTCCAATTGACAAATCTTGCTGTTGAAGTATAATGCTTTAAAATTACATTACACAATTCAAAGCATTTTAAGAAAGTGCTGCAGCTATGTGTGGTAGAAGTTTATTTCACAAATATTTTTTAAGCATTGAAAACAAATATATTCTGCACTGTCTGCAGATGTAATTTTACGAATGTTGCTATTTATAAAAAATTCACAACTTACAGTGTATTTTTTCATCAGATGCAATTTGCAATGTTCGGTGCATAGTTTCTCAGGAGCAAGACAGTTTTGTTCCCCCCCCCTTGATAAGATGTAAGCATTGTAAAAGACATAAGCAGTATCATGCTTAGTGGTCTTACTAGAAAAGAGCTCATCCCATGCATTTTTGAAAGAATAAGGTACTTCTTTTTTTAACAGTTTATTGTGCCAACTGAGCTTATCCCTGAATTTCTCATTTCTTTTACTAATTTCAGTGGTTCTATCAAGCGATAAGCGGCATGTTCATCTGTTTCTCCAGTTGGTCTTGTTTAATCTTTTCCCAAATAGGGAAATCCATTCTGTAAATATTTTGACTACACACCAGTAGCAAGCCAGAATTCAATACCGAATTTGTCCTGCTTTTTAGGCATATACAGAATAAATTGTCATCGGGTCTTCATGGGAAATAATTGTCCATCCACTGTTATATTTTTGCCCGGTTTATAACATTTCAAGCAGTTTTCTATAAAAGCATTCCCAAATATTCGAAACAGGGGCAAATGGATCAGTTTGCAGTCTTTGATGATCTTGATCTAAATTTTTACTTTCATTTTCAGTTTCGCGAGCAGGTTCTCCATCAGACGAATTGAATTTACTTGTTTCAGTCAGAACAATCCAGTCCTCGTTGGATAAACTGGATGCAGTTTCGGTATGAAATTCTTCATCAGGTTCAGTTTCTGAAGCAGAATCATCATGAGAAAGACTTTAAAAAACTTTCAACATCTCTTCCTTCCATTCGATATTTTCCACCAACACTTCTACATGACGTTATAAACAGGTCATAACAACAAAACTATCCAAACGAAGTAAAGAACATTTGTGTGTACTGAAAAATAATACTTCTACTTGACTACTATAACTTCTACTTGAATGTAGAAATGCATAAGATTCTCAGTGGTTAAGAATGAAGCTGTAAAATACCAACCTGTGTTGTCATATTATGCAACATATTTATCAAAAACACTAAATTTGCAGCAATATTTTGTATATACTTTTTAAAAAATTTTTGTAGCATAAAATAACATTTTTATTCAAATAATACATGTCAGATTCAGCGAACTTATGAAAAATTCACATTAATTGCTACACTTGTCTTAAAAGAAAATTTATTATAAAAAGAAAGTTCTGTAACGAATTAACGAAACTTTCAACTTATATGCTTTTTCAAAAATTAAAGTTTTCCTTTATGTGTATGCCAGTATTATAAAAATATTTTATAAGTACTGTGTGAATAGATTGCAAAGGGGAAACAATCTCTCCCCACTATAAAAAATTGTTAACATGTATAAAGTTCTGTCCTATGATGTGTTTATGAAGGAAAAAATTCTTGAGGAACTATATATATTTCTGTTGTTCATAATATTAGAAAATGTATAAATGTTCTTATTGACTTCAAATTAACTGAAACATAATTATAATGTATGGATTTTTGATGTCTTAATTCCTTGGAGTGTGATCTTGCTTTGTTTTATGTTTTCTTGCAGACCTGATAGTGGATATCTATACATCACCATAATTTATAATATCAGTGTTACACTGGCATTATATGGACTTGTGTTATTCTACTTTGCTACACATGAATTATTATCTCCCTATGAACCAGTTTGGAAATTTTGTACCATTAAGTCTGTTATATTCTTGTCATTCTGGCAAGGTAAGATTTTGATGTATTTGTACAACTTCATTGTAACCTCTTTTCCTTGCTTATAGTTTTGCTATCTGTATGTATGAATAATTACAAACTAAAATTTTACCTTTTTTAGGCTTTGATGTTTATAGGAATATTAAAGAAAAATGTTTAAGATTAAATATCTTATTTTAAGTGTAATAATCTGTTTTTCTCTCAATATAAATTCATTTCCCTCCCACTAAATTAATTACATGTTTTTGTCATTGGAAAAATTATTTTAATATAGATTTTTAGCAGTAATTAGCAAGTGTTTAAAATTTATTTTGTGTAGTTAAATGGACACAAGGGAAAAAGAATTATTTTATTGAAGTGTTTTTATTTCTTTAAACTAATGTAATTTTAGGGTACTTTCTGATTATCTGAGACACCTTACGAAAAGTAGCCAACTAATTTTTCGATCATTTAAGAAGTACAGCTTCATGGAACGTTAAATTTTGCATTCTTGATTGGTGGGCAGCTGCTTTTCCATCAGCCAGCAAATGTCCCATTATGATTCCTTAGAAGGAAAGAAATGTTCTCAATACAAAAACAAGCACTAAGAACAATGGCCGTCAAATTCATAAATGGATATATGTGCTCATCTGCTGTGTGCACTAGCTACATAAATACATTTAGGTGATGTCAATAGACTGCTTATTTTGGCATCATGTTGTCTCGTGAATACTTTCCAGAGGGATTGGATAATCAGAAAAATCTGCTTTTAGAATTATAGGATATCAGTACTATTGTGCAAGTGGTTTGTCGTAAACTTGATTAAAACTTATTTTATTTAAACTAGATATTTATTGTAACTCTGTTCTATGTAGGTGTTTTGATTTTTGCAAGTTATTATGAAATTTTATTGTATTGTGTGACTTTTAAATGTTTTATTTTCATAGGATTTGTGTTGGCTATCCTTGAAAAGGCTGGGGTTATTGCTCCGATATTTGCAAATCGAATGAGTACACATGCTGCAAGTGCAGGAACCGTGTCAGCTGGTATTCAAAATTTTCTGATCTGTGTTGAGATGTTTTTTGCTGCGCTTGCATTGCGGTATGCATTTCCTTACCGTGTGTACATGCAAGATTGTGCAACAGATTCTCAAGGTCGTTCTGTAACCATGCAAAGCATATCAAGCAGTTTGAAAGTAAGTATGCATTTTAAATTGACCTTTTTTTGACATGATTTTTTTTTTGACATGATTGATTAACTGAACTATGTGGGACTAATTTTAAACTTATAGGGTAAATGTTATCATTAGCACCATGCTTACGACAAAATTGCACTTTTTTCATTCTTTTCACCTAATTTTTAAAATTCTTTTCTTTTCTTTTTTTTTAAACACTGTGCTTAATAGATTTATATTCAGTGAGATTAACTGATCACATAAAAGAATTATTTTGTTGTTGTTTATCATGTGTCCTTCTGTAGCTGCATAGACAGGCTTCATGAACTAGAGGTGATAGTAAGATTTTAACTGCTTTAATCTTGATTCAAAAATCCCATCCAAGTTGTCATCAGAATACCTTGATGGAAGGAATCCAAAAGTCTCTTACTATTTCTTGCACTGTCATTCTTTTGAGAGTACATGCAGACTAACACTTCATGATGATGCAGTTCAAAATATAAAATCCGGACATCCAGAATGATCTAAAAAACAGACCTCTGAACCCCTAGTAGCCTTTTTTCATATGCTTTTAACCCATGCACATTTGATATTTTTTCATAATAAAACATGGAGTGTTTATTCTTTCTTAGTGAGTTCTTAATTTCATTTTGGACTAAATAAAATACCTCCATGTAGAAAAAACTATCATTTGTTAATATAAATCTGTATGATCAATAATTTGGCTCTGTAAGCCACTTTTTTGCTTAGTATATATCTGAAACCAAAAATATATTTGCAGGAAATAGACATAAGTATTATAAATAACTAATTCAGGCTTAACTGACCAGTAGCATATATACTATGATACATGACTAGTGTTGTTTAGTGGACACTAGCTAAGCTTTCTGATGATATTGCAAATAAAATGTGAAATTTTCCAATTAAAAAAAAATTGTGTAGAAATGTGGGAAAGTAATACATAAAGATAATATAACAGAACTTTTACATTGCAATGGCAATGCCCCAATCATCAATCTACTAACGTCCTGCGAAATCTGTAACATGATTCTAAACCCAGAAAATAATGCTACCAATAGTGAAGAAAGTGACAGAGAGGTTGTTGAGAATGAAAAAAAAAAAAATTTTTTTTTCTATTGACAATTTAGCAGGAATTCTTGACACAGCAATTTCTGGACTTGAAAAGTTGAACTTTGTAACTGAACAAGAAATTATGTCTATTTCTAGAATTAGAGGGAAAGTATTCACACAAAAATTGAAGTAACATAAAAAATTATATTGAAAGAAATGTTTAATAAAGCAAACAAATATTGAGGCTTTTTTTTAAAATTATTTTTTGATTTCTTGGTGATCTTTAAAGAGGTTATAAATGCTTCATTTTTTCATAAACCTCTATTTCATATCTTTAATTTTTTAATTTCTACATGTCATTTTACTAGATTTAAATGACATAATATCCAGAAAAATTCTAAATTTAGAATCATCCAAGTCCTGATGAATCTTAAGCCAATCAATGGCTGAGCAGTGAAGTCGCCGAACACTGGTAGTTTCCACGTTTCTGTAAATAATAATTCACACATTTACAAAAAAATCAAGCCAGGGGATAGTATCATACACTATTTTTATTCATACTTTAGTCGTGATAAACCCAGGGTTGCCACGCTGCCTGGAAAACTGGAAGAAGTCAGGGAATTTGAAAGTTAATCAAAAAAAGTCAGGAAATCTAAATATTTTAGACAAAATCTGGAAAAGTCAGGGAATTTCAATGTCGATTAAAAACAAAAGTGCTTTTGGCGCCAACATTGGAAGCGATCACTTCCTTGGTGAATTATGTATCACGTGAGCATCATTCGAGCAACTGATGTAAAGCTAATTTTCCCCCCTCCAATCAGATTGTCTTTTAGAAACCAGTTAATCATCCTCATAATGTAAACAAAATTGCAGCTGTTTGAACTTTTTCTTGTTTATTTTGAGGAAGCAAAGATCATGTTTTGAAAAGTGTGTAATGTCTGCGGAAGAAAGGGGGGGAAAAAAAAAAGAGTTTAAAGAAACTGTAGAACAAAAAATTTTTCTTCATCAAAATATTCAAAATCTAATTCTAAGTATCCTAACACATTGTTGCATAAGAAAAAGGTTACTAAGGAAGAAATTAAGAATGATTCTAATGCTGTAACAGCAAAGATTTCTTCTAAATATTTTAGTGTTAATCAAAAAGCTAGGGAATTAATCGATGACTTGCCAACTGGTAAATTTATTTGTGATAGTAAATTAATTAATGCAGTAGCAGATACAGACACCCAATTAACTGTTGTTAAGGCTGATACTGTGTGCCACATGGAAGTGTTATCCTCACAGCAGCTTCTGGACAATCTTTAAAGACACCTCATTAATCAAAAGTAGTCTGAAGATGAAAAATTTAAATCACCTATTATTATAACATATGCAATGGTTGATAAGTTATGTAGTAAATTACTTTTGTTGTTAAGTGCTTTCAATGAGTTAAATAGACATGATAAACAAAAGTTTAATTTTGAATGCAAAAATGTAAACATTACTAATGATAATTTGATTGAAATGCCTTTTTGTGAAGCTGAAAATTTTGGCAAAATATTTAACCATGATAGGGAAAACCTTATTAATGAAAAGTGTAATCAAACTGTTTAGAAAATAATAGAATGTTGTGCTCTTGTATCTGGAGACACATGTAAAGGATGATAGCATAAGCCAAGATCATTGTGTTTTGGATTCAGAACTGGGCTCAACAAATGAATGATCCATCTTTGAAAACATGCTAGCAAGATGCTAAGAATGGAATTAACAACTTTATTGTAATTGACAACCTTTTGTATCATAAAGATAAAATTTTAGGAGAAAGTTGTTCTTAAAGAAAGAAGAGAAAAAAAATTTGGACCTGGCTCATTCTAGCTTATGGAGAGGTCACCTGAAAACTAAGAAGACAGCCGAAAGATTGAAACATTCCTTCTTGTTGGCTTGAAATCAAGAAAGATGTGAATGAATACTATACTTCTACTATACTTGTACTTCTTGTCAACTTCAAGCTAAAATGCGACCATTTGATGATGTTCCAATTATGCCACTAACATGTCCTAGACTTAAGTGCAAAGTCACTTGAAAACAGGCGCCTGGTCGAAAGCCATATCCTGAATGTAACAAGTAGCATTTGCATAACTTTCCCTAGCATAACATACAGGAATTCGTAAGTGAGAAAAATTCTTGATGATGCGTAGTAAGTCTTCACATTTTAGTCACTCCGTATAAAGATGCCGAGATATAAAAGCAATAAAACTACTGCTGTCTTGTAAAAAACAAAGATGTAATTAATTAGTAGAAATTCACCGAGCTGAGGCCAAAACCCACAATCTCAGAGTTCAAAAGTTTACTGCTGTGCTCTAACCACTGAGCTACTGGTTCTTTGTGATTTGCTGCATGAATTCACTAATCATCCACTTTAGTGAATTGAATTAGTAATATTGCTGCTTGAAAGCCTGTTTGGAGTTTTTCCGCAGAAGTTTTCACTGATTTTATTTTTCCAATGTAGGAAATAATTGAAGTCAAGAAAGTATTCATTTTTTCGTCTTTCAGCCAGTATATACACCGGTTTTCATAAATTAAGGAAAAATCAAAAAAATATCCATAATTCCCTCAAAAATAAGCCAAACCATGTAAAATTTGAATATGTTGCCAAGTAAGAGTAGCTGAGTAAAACTGCGATATGCAAATTAGTGGCGCTGCTTTTAGAATACGTCATCTGCGAGGAGGATAAAAGTCCATGTTTGAGAGCAAGCCCACATATTTCATTGGGACAGTGACATCAGAAATCTGAAATAGCCAATTCGTAACAATGACCTCCAGGCATCATTTGCCTGCAGAACTGCGATGGAAAGCCACTGGGAGACTAGAGGCAGGACAAAGTCAAACAGAAGTGGCCTGATGACTAAATGCAAGTCCTTCTGTGGTTCATAGACTTTGGAGGCAATTTCAAACCACAGATTCGGCATCTAAGATGTTCAGCCAAGGACAGGCAACTGCTATGACGAGCGCAGATGACCGATATTTATATTATATGACATTATGTGCACGCAGGAATAGAACCGCTACTCCGACTCTTCTTAGATCCTCCCATGCTGCAGCCACCGGAAGGTTCGTGTCAATGTCAACTGTGCGTAGGAAGCTTCACAAAGGTGGTCTGTATGTGAGGTGACCAGCCATTTGTGTGCCGCTCACGTCACACCGTAGGAGGGAAGTAAGTTTTCAGTGGGCACAACAACATGTCCACTGGACACCTGATCAATGGAGGGCGGTTCTCTTTACGGATGAGTCCAGGTTTAGTCTAGAAAGCGATAGTAAGCGTTATTTGATATGTGGAGAACCTGGAACCCGTTATCATCCGTCAAACATCCGTGAAAGAGATGCATACGGAAGGGGCAGTGTCTGTGTTTGGGGTGGCATCTCTTTGGGTGGACGTACAGACCTTCATGTCTTTCCAAGGGGAACCGTGAATGCTCAGATTTATAGAGATGACATCCTTGATGTTTATGGGCGCCCATATGCCGGGGCAATAGATGATGCTTTCCTGTTACAGGACGATAACGCAAGACCACACAGGGCTCACATCATACATGATTATCTTCAACAGGAAACAATTATGGGCATGGAGTGGTCAGCTCGATCCCCGAACTTGAATGCTATTGAGCACGTTTGGGATGCTTTAGGGAGACATCTAGCTGCTCTCAATCCACTCCCTCAGACCCTTGTCATGCTTGCAACTGCTTTTTTCCTTAATTTATGATAACTAGTGTAGCTTTATTTAGGTCTTTCAGCTGGGCTGTAATTTTGCCTTTAACTTTCTCGCTGAACGTAATTTTGGGGAAGGTTTTCTGAGCTGGTTCGGTGGGTGTTTTCATCCTGGGAGAAATTTTCTTCACTTAATTCAGAAATTTTTGGCAGTGATTGGTGGGTTTTGCTCTTGAATTTTTTTATTCGCTGCACCCTCTGTAGCT